TTGAGGAGGAAGTTCGCCATAGTGAGGGCCCCCGGCCAGAGGCCCCTTCCTACTTCTCCTAATTTCTTTGTTTGTTGTTGTAAAACCCCAAACCCGCGTAAACCCCAATCAAAACCACCAACGGTAAACCCTTGGGGGCCCCCACCAGAGGTACAACTGCCTCTGGGGGCCCCCTCCCCCTGCCCCCGACACCCAGGGCCCCCAGGGCCCCCGGGGCTCCCAGGGGCCCCAGGAGACCTCCAAGGGCTTCTGGGGGCCCTAGGGGCCCCGCGGCCCCTGGGGGGGCAGGGACGTCGAGGGGGCTCAAGGTCCCCGTCTGCATCGGTGAAGGCCGCATGAAGACTCTGATGCGGTGTCTCCTCACCTCCTTCTGTTTTGGGGGGCCCCCTGGGGGGCCCCCTGGGGGCCCCCCCAGGGGCCCCCAGAGGGGCACAGTCAGGGTCCTTGGGGGCCCCCTCGGAAAGAACAGCAGAAGGTAGGGTAGTTGTGAAGCTCGTAGCGTCGGGGGGGCCCCCAATAGTCCATAGAGATAAAAACATCAGCAACAGATGAAGGCAATGGGGGGCCCCCCAACCACACAACGACGGGGGGCCCCCCTCAGCACACACACACACACTCTTATTGGTGGGGTTGTTGTTATATTGTTTTTATGGAAAAAAAAATAATAAAAAGATTTTCATTTATATTGCCATTAAGGGCCCCTTCTATGACCCAAAGGTTATACTTGAGTGGGGGCCCCCTGGGGGGCCCCCTCGGGGGGCCCCCCTGGGGGGCCCCCCCATTCAACCCTGGGGGCCCTGGGGGCCCCCCTGTTTTATTGATTTGTTTGTATTTGTTTTCCCTCTGTTTTTTTTAAATAGAGAGTGAAGCATACTGTACACCAGAGAGAGATAAAATAATTACACTGACAGTCTTTTTGTTTTCTAAACCCTAAACCCTAAACCCTAAACCCTAAACCCTAAACACTAAACCCTAAACCCTAAACCCTAAACCCTAAAAAGAATAAAGGGAAGGAAAAAGCCCTTCGTTTATAATAATGTTTTTGTTTGCTCCTGCATATAATAAAAAATAAAAGTATAAATAAAATTATAAATAAACAATAAATAATATATATATTATCATATACATATATATATATATATATATATATATATATATATATATATATATATATATATATATATATAT